TATTTTGGCTCTTGTGGACTTAATTGTCTTCAGCTTCAAGTTGAACTTGCATATGAGCAGTTGATGGTCTGTTCCACAGTCAGCTCCTGGCCATGTTCTGGCTGAAGATATTGAGCTTCTCCATTGTCTCTTTCCATAGATATAGTCGATCTGATTCCCACATATGCCATCTGGTGAAGTCCACGTGTACAGCTGTCCTTTATGCTGTTGATAAAAGGTATTTGCAATGAATAAGTCAAAAACCAAAAACTAAACTCACTGCCATTGAGTCAGATCCGATTCATAGCGACCCCTCTTTGGGTTTCCGAGGCGGTATCCCTATGGAAGTAGATTGCCCAATCTTCCCTCCAAAGAGTGACTGGTGGGTTTGAACCACCAGCCTTCTGGTTAGCAGTCAAATGCCTTAGGCACTATGCCACCAGAGCTCCTAATGAATAAGTCCTTGGTCTTGCAAATTCTATCAGGCGACCTCCAATTCTCATTTCTATAACCAAGGCCATATTTTCCAACTACCAGTGATTCTTCTGTTTCCAACTTTTGCATTCTGATCACCAGTAATAATCAACACATCTTGATTGCATGTTTAGTCAATTTCAGACTACATAAGTTGGTAAAAATCTTCAATCTCCTCGTCTTTGGCTTTCTTGGTTGGTGCTTCAATTTGAATAATAATAGTATTAACTGGTCTTCCTTGTAGGCATATGGATATTATCCTATCACTGACAGCATTGTACTTCAGGATAGATCTTGAAACATTCTTTGCGATGATGAATGCCACACCATTCCTCTTCAATTCGTCATTCCCAGCATAGTAGATCATATTGTTATCTGATTCAAAATAGCCAAAACCAGTCCATTTCAGCTCACTAATGCCTAGGATATCAATCTTTATGCATTCCATTTCATTTTTGACAACTTCCAATTTTCCTAGATTCATACTTCGTGTATTCCATGTTCCGACTGTTAATGGATGTTTGCAGCTGTTTCTTCCCATTTTGAGTCATGCCACATCAGCAAATGGAGGTACCAAAAGCTTTACTCCATCCACATCATTAAGGTCAGCTCTACTCTGAGGAGGCAGCTTTTTCCCAGTTGTAATTTGAGTGCCTTCTGACCTGATGGGCTCATCTTCCAGCACTATATTGGACAATGTTTCTGTGCTATTCATAAAGTTTTCCAGTAATATATCAGACAGTGTTTCACTGCTATTTATAAAGTTTTCACTAGCCAGTTCTTTGAGAAGTGTATGGCCCCTTCCTTCTTCTGAGTCTGTCTTTCTCTGGAAGCTCCGCTGAAACCTGTCCACCATGGGTGACGCTGCTAGTGTTTCAAACACTGGTGGCATAACCTTCAACCTCACAGCAACAGGCAAGCCACCACCTTACGACAAACTGATAAACAAGTGGTAGTGCCAGACTCCAGAGCAATGGAAGTGCTTCTGGAGGAGGGAGGGGCTCAGAATAATGGAACAGGGGATGTGCTTGCTGAGGAGGGTGGGGAGCTGGGCTGTAGGAGAGTGGCAGTGCTTCCTGAGAAGGGAGTGGTGCTGACCTCTGGAACAGCAGAAGTATTTCCTGTTTTGGGTAGGGGTACTAACCTCTGATTAGTTTAAATCAGAAAGGGAATGCATCAGGGTTGTGTCCTTTCACCATATGTATTCAATCTGTATGCTGAGCAAATAATCTGAGAAGCTGGACTATATGAAGAAGAATACAGCATCAGGATTGGAGGAAGACTTTTTCACAACCTGCCATATGCAGATGACACAACCTTGCTTGCTGAAAGTGAAGACTTGAAGCACTTACTGATGAAGAGTAAAGACTACAGTCTGAAGTATGGATTATACCTCAACAAAAAGAAAATGAAAATCCTCACAACTAGACCAATAAGCAGTATCACGATAAATGGAGAAAAGATTGAAGTTGTCAAAGATTTCGTATTACTTGGTTCCATAATCAACACCTATGGAAGCAGCAGTCAAGAAATCAGATGAAGTATTGCACTGGGAAAATCTGGTGCAAAAGACTTCTTTAAAGTGCTGAAAAGCAAAGATGTTCTTTGAAGATTAAGGTGTGCCTAGTTTTAATCACCTCATATTCATGTGAAAGCTGGACGATGAATAAGGAAGACTGAAGAAGAGTTGATGCTCTTGAGCTGTGGTGTAGGCAAAGAATGCTGAAAGTACCATGGACTGCCAGAAGAACCAACAGATCTATCCCAGAAGAAGTGCAGCCGGAATGCTCCTTGGAAGAGAGAATGGCCAGACTTTGTCTCACCTGCTTGGTCATGTTGTCCTACTTTGGACCATTCCCTAGAGAATAAGCATGTATCATGCTTGGTAAAGTGGAGACAAAAGAGGGGAAGGCCCTCAACAAGATGGATTGACACAGTGGCTGAAACCATGGTCTCAGATATAGCAAGGACTGTGAGGCTGGTACAGGACTGGACACTGTCTCGTTCTGTTATTTTTGTGAGTCGGAGCAGACTTGATGGCACTTAGCAGTAACAACAACAACTAACATCTGGAGGACAGGAAGTGCTTGCCCTGGTGGTAAGGAGCTCTGACCTTTGAGTAGCTGAATTAATTGCCAAGGAGGGTAGGAGACTGACCTCTGGAGGAGCGGAAGTGCTTGCTGGGGGCTGTAAATCCTCGGGTCCCATGCACGTTGACAGCAGCCACTCGGAACTGGTACCACCTGCTAGGTCTGATGTCCGCCAGTTGGACCCTCTCATCTGTGGTCTGTGGGGAAATGGCACAGTGGGGCCTTTTATTCTGATACGACAATTAGGTCTGTGTAGAAACATGTGTTAACTCATGTCCAACCAACTCAGCCTTGACCTCCATCTGCCTTTCTGGATTACTGTGTCGAAAAGCATTGTCAGGGATCTAGGGAGTTTTAGGAGGGCAAGATATGCAGGGAGAAGTCTGCTCACCCCACTCCATACATAGATACTTCAACCCAGAGAGCTAAAGAGGTCTGGAAGTCAAAATCTTAGGCTAATACTTGGGTGAATTTTGTATCTGCTGAGTAAGTACAGCATTCATGAAATTCACTTTTTAATAAAGAGTACCTAACCAAACCAGTTGCTGCAGAGTCGATTCCGACTCATGGGGACCCTGTGTGTGTCAGAGTAGGGCTGTAGGGCTTCCAGTGGCTGCGTTTTCGGAAATCGATCACCAGGTGTTTCTTCCAAGGTCTGTCTGGTGGACTTGAACCTCCAACCTTTGTTTAGCAGCTGAGGCTATTAACTGTTTCACCACTCAGGGAATCCCAAAGAGGTTACACACACAACACATACACACACATACTCTTTAGCATATATATTTATATATATCACAAGAAAGCTAAGCATTACATTATAGACAGGACAGTGAAATCACCTTTAAATTATAGAAAGCACCTTCTCTATAACTTGTATGTCAGATAAAATTTCAAAAATAGATGAGAAAACCTCTACATGCAACACAAGCTGGCAATCTCAAGGGGTCAAACTGAGGGCCCTCTCTTTCTTTGTCTTTGAGGAAGTCACGTAACGCCTGCATGGACCCAGGGAGAGATGGGTTAATCTGTCCTTTGTGAAAGGCTTGTCCGGAGAAGCAAGCTAGGCTTCGAGGAAGGCCATGGGGTTTGCTTGTCTCTACTGCTACCGTCCCAAGATACCCAGTAACTTTCACATTCTTCCTCCTTCCCTCCTTCATCAACCTAAGGGCAAATACATCTGCCTTCAGGAATGTCCTGTTTTGTTTTCATTGCTAGATCTCAGAACCTTGGCCTTGAATTTCACGGAGTATATATGAGCAGCTCTGGGTCTCGGCTCTGCCTGGTGGCTCTCAGTGAAGGCAGCTGCTGAGCAGAGTCAAATTAGAACCCTCCCAAGCCTCCATTTGTAAGGCCTTCCTGGGACAGTGTCACGTTCATTTCAATATAAAAGAAGCTGCGCAGTCCTGAGATCCAGGGAAGACCACGGACACATAAATGGTGATGTGTGCCTGAGATGGGGAACTTCCAGACAAACCCTCTCTGAATTCCTTGTCCAGAGCTGTTGCTGTGAATTTAAAACACTAATGTCAGCGTGACATCCTGTGGCATCACAGCCAAAGAAGGGACACACTATTGGTGGCGCTGATGAGAGAAAATGATCATAACTCAAAGTCTCTCTCCAAAAAGAGGGAGAAAAAGAAAAGGTGCTCTTAATAGCATTTACTTTCACAAACGTCTCAGTAATTGTGAAAGTTTACAAACGAAACTCCCATTGTTGAAGGGAGCATTTCAAGCAAATGACATTGATTTAGGCAGCATCTGGGCAGCTTTATGCTTCATGAAAGTAAATTCTTTGTTATGAGATAGGGACAGAACAAGATTACATTTTCACAAGACTATATTTATTAGGCCAGGATTCTTCTAACCTAAGTTTCTTTTATGTCCAGCTTCTCTTACTCATTTTGGGGGTCTTTCGATTTTGGGAGTGTTTATCCCCTTTGAGATATTCCTATTGGGAGAAGAATTAAATTCCTCTTTAAAACACTTGGGGATTGAAATCTAGTCTATATGTGTTTTTCAAAAATGGGGATCTAGTCTGAGAAGGAAAACAATGTGGTGAACTGAAGGGGAGAATTTTCCCCCATAGACAACATGTGGAGGCAACACTCGGGCTGTTGAAAAGCATGACGGCGTTCTGCATTAAGAATTTATTCTTTCTCAACAGCCATGTATTTTCTTGCACCTGGTAGTCCATTTAACAGCTCTTAAAAAGAAAGAAAATATTTTGGTTTCCTCATCCAGGAGACAGCAGAGGAGGCAGTAGGGCTAAGATAAACTCTGGCAGTGGGGCCTTGCAGGTGGTGTGTTAGTGGTTGGGTCAACAAAGAGGAAGAAGAAAGCCCTCGGTGAAGATTTATGTGCTGCTCGCTCCTGACCCGGAAGCAGTTCTGTACTGCCAATCTTACTCCCTGCTGCTTAGGTCCTTGTGTGTCACAACGGCTTGAATGTGTAAGGGATACATGAGATACCACTGACATGATCGAATATCAGGTTAACTGCTCCTTCCAGCACGCATTTCCCTTCCTCTAGTGGAGGAGTTAGTGGTGGCGTAGTGCCTAAGGCACTTGACTGTTAACCAGAAGGCTGGCAGTTCAAATCCACCAGCCACTCCTCAGAAGGTAGGTTGAGCAATCTACTTCCGTAGTGAGACCACCTCAGAAACCCAAGGAGGGGTCACTGAGTCGGATCCAACTCGACGGCACTGGGTTTTAGCAGAGTTTTGAGTTTATCTGGAGGAAATGGAGAAAATAAATGTGAGCAGGCAGATACAAAGTTATCTCCTTTGCACGGGGATTTGCAGCAAATCAAGCCAATGGCCAAGTTTCTAGGTCTACTAGGTTGTACGTGTGGAGCTCTTTCTCTCTTAATATTTCCACATGTCATTATTTCTGTAGCAAAACTGGAGTCCCTGTGGGGTGTAAAGGGTTAACTGCCAGATTATTAGCCTAAAGGTTGGTGGTTCACACCACCCCCAGTACCTCAGAGGAAAGGCCAGGTGATCTACTTCTGAAAGGTGTCAGCCATGAAAACTCTGGAGCACGGTTCTACTCTGACACACACGAGGTCACCATGAGTCAGCGATGACTCAAGGGCAGATGGTCTAGTTTGGTTTTCAGTGGTAAAACTTGTGACAGAGCCGGCGTGGGCTAATTTTCCTGTCAGGAGCAGACATTACCTCAGAGCGGAACGTTCAATGTCTGCAGCACTCACCTGAGCCACGGTCTGCCAGTGGGTAGCATCATCTTCGCTGGGATGAATTCCATAGTTCCATCGTCTCTGCACTACATAGATGACGGGCTCAATGGAAATGTTGAATTTTGAGGACCACTTAATCTCCAGCTGTCCAGATGGCAGTTCCGTGAATCGTAACTCTTTCCTGGGCTTCAGGGGGACACCTGCAAGGGGACCATGTCAATTACAATAAGCTGCGGGTGGCTCCAAGAGAGGTGGAATTGAGGAGGAAATGCACAGAAGAGACCAGTCTCATCAGATGGCAAGGGATACTCCTTCCTTTCATAAAAGTACTTCACGACTGAAAGCTTCCGACAGAGCTCAGCCCATCACATTTCAAAGCTTTAGCTCCTTTTCCACTTTCTTATTTTGGTAAATATATACACCAGGAGCGCTGGTGGTACAGTGATTCAGCGCTCAACTGCTAACTGGGAAGTTGACCATTTGAAGCCCCCCAGCAGCTCCATGGGAGAAATGCCTGGTGATCTGTTCCCATAAAGAATACAGCCCATCAAAGTTGTGGTCACTGTTTGGTCACAGTCAGCTACCCAGAGGGACCGAGTAGTTGAACCTGTGGCCTCAGGACCATAGTCGCAGGGGACATCAAGCTCAATTGGCATAACATACTATA